ACTACGGAAAACTGGGCCTTTCCCACCACGCTAAGAAAAGCGTGATAATTAATTAATATTAACTTCAATTAATTAAAATTAATTATGATTAATTACTTAAAACTAATCATAATTAATTATAATAGTTATAATTAACTTAATAATTAGAGTTAATTAAAATAATTAATTAAAATAATTTTTAACTAAAACTAATTAAAATTAATTACTTAATATTAACAATAATTAATAATAATTATTAAAATTAATTAACAATAATTAAAAATTAATGCTAATTAATTTTAATTAAAATTATTTAACTTCTCCTCCCTTTCTCTATCTATGGTTCGACAGATTTACTAGATTTGGCCCAAAGTGAACGAGAGGGGGAGAGTTACCTTCACGGGCAAGCGAACTCTTGTTGCTTGCGATCAAAATGGGGTAACTTCCGATCCTAAAGGAAGGGAAAGTCGCTGAGGGAGGCGGAAGGAAGAGGAGGATCGGTCAAGGCTTTGGGTTGATGAGCTGAGATCGGCCAACAGAGGGAGTGGGGATTTCGGCTGGAGCAAGGAGGGGATTTTAGGTATGGGTGGCTGCCCTCTCTCTCTGAGATCGAAAGAAGCCAAGGGATCGGGAGGAGGTCGGGGCTTCGACGTCGGCTGAGATGGAGGAGTTCGGGATAGAAAATCGGGGCTGGATGGAGATCGGAGGAGGTCGGGATGGCTGAGGGATTTCGCGGGAGAGAGCTTCGGCAGTGGAGAGGGTAGCGAATGGGGAACACGATGGCTTCGTTCGGTTGGCTTTTAAAGGCGTCGAAGGGCTGCGATCGAGGCCGGTTCTACGCTCAAATCGCGGGATGCGACTCAAACAGCGCCGAATCGACGAGATTTCTTGCGGTATTTGCTGGAGCATTCGGCGGGATACGAGGTATTCTCGATCTCTCTCTCGTTCTCTTTTGATTTCTTATACAGAGGTCAACATACTTCTTTTGGAAAATACCTAAAAGTGAGTATTACATTCTAGCCCTTTAGACTGAGATGCCTGTGGGTTTTGTTTAACAGGTCTTATGACTCTCTCAGATGTTTCTTATAGATTTGTATGACTTATTGCATCCCTTTGGAAGTAGCCAGGTGTTTGTGTTTAGGGTAGATTAGACTTCACCCGTCAATACTTTAGTTTATGGTTACTTGTTAGTTTGACATTATTAAACTTTTAGCTTTCAATTGTTTACTAGCCGACACTTACTTGCCAGCAATTGTTGTTGTTTGGCACTAGTGCTTCTGCTACAATACCATACTCTTTTTTTCATTTTGCAACTTTATTGCGCTGGTAGCTTGCTCTAGCCCGCTTTACTTTCTTTAGCAATTATTTTGGTGCTAATCAATTTCTATTTTTTTACTTGCAAGTGACTGGAGTTTTGTGCATGCAAGAGCTTACCCAAGAGTATTAGAGAGCTTACACAGAGAGTTGTTTTGGAGAGCTTGAAGGGTTTGTATAGAAAATATTTTCTTTTGTTTGAGTCGTAGATTTAGGAGTGTGGTTTTCATGTAGCTTGTACTTAAGGGTTGATTAGTGAAAAAATAACTTCTTTTTCTGCATTCAAAAGAAAATTCATCAGAATGGCTCTCTCCACATTAATTGATTAATTAATAAAAAATTTTATTTTAATCAACCAATTAATCAATTTAAATTTCATTGTTCTTGGATTTTAAGTTGCTCCTGGGTTTTTTTAAAATTTGCTCTCGAATAATTAATTAGCTAATTAATTATATTTGCTCTCAGATTTTAAATTGCTCTCGAATAATTAATAAACCAATTAATTAATTTTAATTAATTATTCTCAATTAACCGACTAATTTTAATTAATTTATTACAATTAATCAATCAAAATTAATTAACTAATTTCAAATTCATAATTAATTTCAATTAACTTATTAATTATTTAATTAATTAATTTCTTTAATCAATTAATTTTAATTAATCAATTTATTTTGGTTGTTAATGCTAGGGTGTCCCCTGGAAGCGTCACGCTGTCTGGCCTAAATACAGTGACAAGTATGCAAGGCCGCTACACCGACGCCCGGATATAGTGTTAAATAGGCAAGGGTTCCCACATCAAAGATGGATGTGGGCAAAGAAGCTAATCCATGAAACTAAAATTAGGATAAGAATTTGAAATATAGGCTCCATTACAGGAAAATTAATGAAATTAATATATATTATGATTCATATGAAGATAAATATTATGTGCATTCAGGAAACTAAATGAGTTGGAGAGAAAGCTAAGGAGATTAATAGTTTATGATATAAACTATGATATTTGGGTAGGAGTCGTACTAGAAATGGTGTAGGTGTGATTTTTGATAAAAGTTTGAAGGATAATATTATAAAAATTAACAGAATTGGGAATAAAATTATAGTTTTAAAGATTATTGTTGATACTAAGATTGTTAATATTAATACCTCTCTTCAAGTAGGTTTTGATATGAGTTAAAAATTAAAATTTTGAAATGACTTAAAAGAATTAATAAAAAAATATACCTCTTGAAGAAAGAGTTTTTATTGGAGGAGATTTAAATGGACATGTTAGTAGAGAGGTATAAGATTTTAAAAGCATCCATGAAGGCCATGGGTTTGGAACGACAAATGAATGTGGTAAGACTATATTAGATTTTTTCTTTAGCTTATAATTTCTTGATAGCTAATACCTTATTTAAGAAAAGAGATGGGCATCTCATCACTTATAAATATGGATATAGCAAAACGCAGATTGATTATTTTCTTATAAAAAAATTAGATCATTTAGATGGCAAAGATTGTCAAGTTATTCCGAGTGAAAATTTAAGTACCAAACATCGATTATTAGTTTTGGACTTTAAGATAAATGACCAAATAATAAAAAATAAAGTAAAATGATTTCTAGGATTAGATGAAAGCATTTAAATAATATTAACAATAGTATTTTTGAGAGTAAAATTTTAGATCTTAAGATTCTGTCTGTGCATGAGGATACCAATATTATGTGGGAAAAATTGACTTGTGATATTAAGAATATTATAAAATATGTGCTTGGAGTTTCGAAGAAAAAAGCTCCTAATAGTAAAAATAGTTGATGATGGAATCCAAATGTGCAATAAAAGATAAAAAATAAGAAGATTTGTTATAAAAATTGGTTTAGATGCAAAAATTCTAATAATTGGTGAAGCTATAAAGAGGCTCGTAAATAATTAAGAAAACTATTAGTCATGGATGTTCTCACTAGACATTTGCAAGAGGATGTACCTTGGTGTATGCATTTTGCTGATGATATTCTTCTTGTTGATAAGACTAGAGAGGGAGTTGAATGTAAACTTGAATTATGGAGGTCAACTTTTGAGTCTAAAGGTTTTTGCTTGAGTAGATCTAAAACTGAAAACCTAAATAGTTGAGATAAGTTTTATGTCATTGACGATAAATATTTCATAGTTTTATGCTGTGGAGAAGTTTGAGCGGTTGATTAAACTTGTTAGGATTATCCATAGGAAATTCAAATTTAAATGGGAGGTGTTAGAAAGAGAAATAGGATTGAATGAAGGGAAGCACAAGGTTGGGGCTACTATTCTCTTAAAAATTTTACTTCTTGCACAAACAATGATTTTATTGTACGTATGAATAGTAAAAACTTATTTCAAAAGGAAAGGAAATAAAATGAGCTCATTTTTATAGAATTTAAATTCAAGGTAGAAATTATGTATGTAGAGTGATTCAAAAACAGCCACCCTAAAACCAATTTGACGCAAGATTGCCAATGAAGGAACTAGAAAGGATAATAAATTATGATGAAAAAAAAAAAGATCAAATACCAAGGAAATATTAAGGGAAATAAATAATATGAGCATGCCTCGCACTTAAATAGAAAGATTACCATCATCGAAGATTTTAAGATCTAACAAGCAATCCAAGGATCCATTGTTACAATAGATGATATTTTAATTCATAATTCACATCCACAGATCCATAATTTCAACCCAAGGATCCCTGTTTATAAAGTAAGGTCCTAAAACACAAAATAAAAATATGATATAAACGGAAGCAATAATATAGATAATGATTTTGAAGTTAAAATGACATAAAAAAGACTCAAATAATCTAGACGATTACTATAAGGACCATTACGTTTTACATCAAAGGATTAAACATAAACAATAAATAATTGAATTCTAAGGTTGTCTAGCACCATCACCCTTATCAAATATGGTATTAGGAAAGATACTTGACATGTATTTGTTTTTTTGATCATCTGCAATATTTCAATACTAATTTAACAATTCTTGAGAATGCTTTGAACATGTTTTGGGCAGCACAGTTGTATAATGCCTTTTATTTTTGTCAGATTTTGTCTTTACTATAGCACTATTGTGTCATGTTCATGCGTTAGCCTAGTCTTTTCCTCTGCCTATTTATTCCTAAGCAATTATTAATGTGAACCATTGTTTTGTCCGATGATTAAAGAAAGAAAAGAAAAGAAAAAGATGAGATCAGACTTCAAAAAATAGTAGTTGCTGCATCAATTTAAACATAGTTCAAAAGTTGGATAGAATTTTCCTATAGGTTAAATGTACACATACAAAAACATGGATGAATATAGTAACACACAAAAGATAATTCAAATCTATGTAATTTCATAATGCATGGATTATAAGCAAAGCAAAACTAATGCAAAATGATAGATTAAATCCCGTAACATTCAAATAGGGAAAAATATTGCGCAGCAAAACTAATATAGCATGCATGTCTTAGATATACAAATTGCATGAGTGAATAAACCAAGATTGCAGAATACTCTGTGAAACCACCACAGTAGCAAAAAGTGCATTCAAGTAAATAAACATCAAATTTCAATTGTAAAATAAATCATAAAAGAAAACAATTAGAAGTATACTTGTTTTTAGCAGTTGTAGAAATTGGACTAGATTAGTCATTTTACTTTTTGCTTAGCAGCTGTGACTATTGGACGAGACTAGTTATTTTACTGGAAAACTTACCTATCTTTTTCCAATTTTTTCCATGATAATGATGAACAGCATTGCATAGAATTTCATCCTGAATATAAAAAATTGATACTCACGTGAGTTAGCAAAACAAACACAGCCAGGACAAGAGTAGCAAAATTATGGCATGAAAGAAGCAAGTATGTTTTGTATGTCAATATATGATGAAGAGCTACTACAAATAGGTTAGTAACAATTACAATAACTCTATAAGAAATAAGTCAAGAACAACATACAAATCTAGATTAATAGCAATGCTATTTATTACAAACGGTGTGTACATTTGTACCTGTGTTTCTATATAACCTTTCCTTGATTATAGTTGTGATTTGTTGAACAGCCTAAACTCTTCGGACATAAAATATGAAGCATAAAATATCAATAGCAAGAACTAATGATTAACAATGTATTTTAAGTTTGGACCTTGCAAGAAGATAAAAACGAACAACATTGGGCTCCAACACTACCATCCATGAAGTCTAAGAAGGACAAGCTAAAATCAGAATAAAATCACACAGAACGCCATTCATATCACACATACAGCATTTATGATACATTTATAAGAACATATATAGTACAAGTACAACATATAAAACCTAACATATCACGTGAAATTAAAGTTAAAGCATGTATTCTGGGACACAATTCTCAAGCATAACCTTCAAAATTATTTCACCTACTGGACATTAAGCTGAAACTAGCAGATATCCAGTCAGCTTCATCCCTAACTTCACCAACAACCCAAAACAGAAAATATTAAAAAAAAGAAGAAAATCCACCTAAATGACTAGCAATTTTTTCTATTAACTAAATTACCTCTTCAGGAGTCCACTGTCCTTTAGTTGATCTCCTTTTTGGGCCAGTTATCCTTCTACACAATCATCAAATCGAAATATCAGTAATAACCTTGATGGGAGTAACTGAAAGATGAATGATGACAATTAAAACAAAGCTATCACTTAGGGTTAAAAATTAAAAATATACCCATGCAGAGCCTGCTGTTGCCTTAGAAAGTCGCAATCGCTCCCATCTATTAGAGAGGTGGAACTTGAAGCTTCTCCCATTCCATCTGGGGTCGTTGCAGAAGAACTCCCAACTCTACCATCTTGGACGGTAAAGACATTTAAGAACAGTTTAGCATGAATAAGGTAATAACACAAGTAAAGGAAATTGCAGAGAGAAATGATTTGAGGCAGTTTATGTATTCATTGGAAATGTTATAGTATCGATTACATCCTTTGGTCTGTTACATAAAATAGTGTGAGAGTGTGTGACTTTACACGTGTAGGCTAGTGATTTATCTGGGTTGTTATTGTTGAACGGCTGGATGCTCCTATTTTGGAGTTTGTTGTTTGTTGTCAAAGGTAGTGGGATTGACTGCTTTTACTCCCCGCAAATTGATGGTTCCTGTTGAACCGTTAATTTGAGCCTTAGAGTGTGAAATATGGTTGTCAAAAAGGGCTTGGTCAGCACATCTGCTACCTGGTCTGTAGTAGTAATTGGTCTGACCTTGATGTGGTTGGCATGGATGTGATCCCATATGAAATACTGGTTAATCTCTATGTGCTTGGTACGGGCGTGAAATACTGGATTGTTTGTAAGTGTAATGGCTGACATGTTGTCACAGAAGATAGGTGTTGGTTTTGATAGAGGTATGTGGAAATCTTGGAGAAGACGTCTAAGCCATAAGACATCGACAGTGGCAAGAGCTCGGTATTCCGCTTCGATGGATGAATGGGCAACTGTGTGTTGCTTCTTGACACTCCACGAGACAATGGAGTTTCCTAGAAATGAGCAGTATCCTATTGTCGATCTTCGGGTTTGGGGGTCGCTTACCCAGTCGGCATCTGAATATGCGGTAAGATATAGAGGACCGGTGGTGATGGGAATGTCGTAGAAGATTTTGCCTTGTATGTAGCGTAACAAACGCTTGAGTTGGAGAAATTGTGGAGGTTGGGGATTGTGCATATGATGACATAAGAGATTTACTAAATATGTTATGTATGGTCAGGTTATTGTTAGGTATTGGAGGGACCCTGTAAGCTGACGGTAGGTGTGGGGATCAGAGAGGATGGGATCTATGACAGCTGTAATTATAGGTTTGGTGGAGGTGGGATTTGAGAGAGGATTACAGTGGTGTAGAGCTGCTTGTTGAAGAATAGAGATAGCGTATGAGGTTTGGGAAAGAAATAGAGAGCTGTGAATATGTTTGATTTGAATACCGAGGAACGTATGCGTATGGCCAAGATGTTTCATGGTAAATTGGCGGTCTGGATTGTGAATAAGAGAGGATAAAGCTTGTTTGTTGTTGCCGATAAGCAAGATGTTTAAGGCCGTATATGGCATTATGTAGGAGACATACGTGATGGGGATGAGAGGGGTCTTCAAATCCACATTGTTGTTTCATATAGACTGCTTTAGATAAATCACCATGAAGAAACGCGTTGGCTACATCGAGATGATGTATGGGCCATTGTTTATTGAATGCAATGATGATTAAGATGCATATGGAGGCTATTTTGGCAACGGGACTGAATGTCTCGTTATAGTCAATGTCGGGTTCTTGGCGGTGACCCTGAGCCACAAGGTGAGCCTTATAGCGCGCAATTGTACCATCGGAATGCTGTTTGCAAGGGCGGAACTCTTTATTGGTTAGGAGGGCAATTGAACCCCCCCCCC